TTCCACAGAAGTATGTGATATAAACTAAGGTGGTAGAAAAGCATCAAACTGCTTTCAGGTACTCGACCTCCCAAACAAAAATTCACAATACTTTTAGGTATGGATAATTTACCATACTTGGGCATATGTTCAGCGGGGATAATTAATTCACTCATACCAACAGATGCCAAATGGGAATCACTTTTACACCGCACGACGAAGACCCTGAACATGAGCAAGAAGGTTTCAGATTATCGCTATCAAACTTATTAGACCAAAACGGCATGATTACACCTTATGTACACTCCAATCTACCAGGGTCAGTTGTGGATACACCGAGACAAGTAGTCAAAGCCAAAAATATACGACACGCTGAAGTGAACTTTGTTCTACACAAATACATACCCCAGACAGATGGCAATGTACAGAAATGGGTGAAAGAGGGGCACATATGCAGGAGAACAAAACCAACACATGTGAATCTACCACTACTGTCAACAGGTGAATTTGAACAAAGAGGCCTACTGAAGAAAGTACGCACATTTTTGGACTTGAGAGAAGTCAACTATCACCTTGAACAAGGCAAAATCGTATTGCCAAAAGTGAAAGAAGTACTACACAATCTACAAGATGCACAATTTTCCAAATTGGACTTAACAGGAGGCTTCCACCGCTTTCGTATATAGCCAACACTTTTTCACTTTTTATGGAGAGAGGCACAGTACTCATTTAAGTCAGCACCATTCGGACTACACTCGCTATCAGCACAGCTCCAAAGGGAAATAACCAACCTACTCATTGTCATTAAAGGCGTACAAGTCATTGTCAGCCTCACCGAAGAGGAACACAGGAAGACAGTACGAGAAGTTATCAAATGACTTAACTCGGCCAACTTCAGGTTGAACCACAACACATGTGCTTTTGCAGCCAAGACAGACAATATACTAGGCGTCAAAGTTACAAAACAAGGGCTCAAAACAGACTCCGAAAAACATAAACGCGTGATTGACTGGCCTTTACCAAGAACCAAAAGAGACTTACATCGAGCAGTCGGCATAGCAAACTACATGCGGGACCACATACCCCAGTTTGCACCCATAACGAAACACTTCCGAAATCTCATGAAAGGAAAAATGAACCAGAATATAGCAAATCTTTGGACAGCTGAACTTGTTAAGAAATGAAAAGAACTCAACGATGCTATCGCGTGTTCAGCAACATTGGCGTATCCAGTAGATTGAATACCGTTCCAGATCATTAATGATGCAATATAATATGGCATAGGAGACTGCCTATTTCAAATCATAGACGGGGTCAGACGAAATATACTCTGTTTCTCAAAAGGCGTAAACTCCGCACAACAAAGATATGGGACGAATACAAAAGATTTACTAGCGATGGTATACAGTCTAGAATATTTTTCGGAGTACATCAATGGAGGCGATATAACATTGTAGACAGATCACAAGGCGCTATGCCAAATGAATAAACAGCAAACACTGCATCCCATGCTAGCAAAGTGGATCGCAAAAACATTCCATCACCACTTCACAATCATACACGTGCCAGGTAAAAATAATCAAGTTGCCGACGTGCTATCACGATTGCACGAAGATACCTTCAACATCCAAACATCAATTGTGCTGAAGGAAGCCAACGAGAATACACACAACGGTCAAGAATATACTAAATTTGAAACAAACATGCCCATGCTGGTATTTGCCATAGACTGGAACTACACCCACGATTCTACAAAGAGGCAGAACGCAGGATTGAAAATTCACTTTCGATTTATTTGCAGCAGCACACAGTGCACACACAGCAAAGTTTACTACAAAAGTGGGCAGATGAAATAAACGCATGGGTGAATCCTTCCTGGGAGCTAATCCCATACGTTCTGACAAAGTCACAGAGTAAGCCACGAACATCACAACATATGTGCCCTACCACCCAAATGCAATGTGGTTTTCCAAATCCCTGTCACTACTGGAACAAGATCCGATGATAGTCGAAAACGTGAACAACACGTTCCTGAAAGGCGGCACGTCAGCTTGAAACAAAACACAACGGGGAGTCACACTAGTAGCCAAGATAGACACAATATCACCATACCTTGACTAAAAACTAGCACATCCAGCCATAAAGATCGCGTCGGTATAAACCAAGGACGAGTCGGCAGAGCTAGACACATTCACATATGAAGTCAGAACTGCCTTAACTGTGGGCCACTACACCGTTGAAGAAACAGTGAACAAACTTCAACATAGTCCCGCTAGAAAGAACATGTAAACCAATACATTAAAGGCTGTGTACCATGTCTTACGAACCAAACTCACAAGAAGGGTTTCCATCCCTTACAATCAATAACGGCTGCATTTCCGGGCGACAAGATACAAGTGGACACTATCGGTCCCTTGATAGACTTGAATAGAAACAACACATACGTTCTACTTTGGCTCGATGTACACTCACGCCATACTTAGACCAATGATGGACAAATCTACCACGACCCACTTCGTGCTTCGTGGCCACTGGATGATAAATATTGCGGTACGATGATACTTTTACAATATCACTCGTTGCGGATCGCACAACTTTTGAATTGGACCAACGTGAGGTCCTCAACCGATTTTGGAGCCTAGCCGAGAAAAACCATGTTTTAGAATATGCATGCAATGCTGTCATACGTATAATTGAGCAGGCTACACATGATGCATGGGCTATAACTAGAGACACCGCAACCTATGTCCACCACATAAGCGGTTACACAAAAATGGCGCCAATAGATTTGTTTCGGGAAGAAGATGACAATGCCCCCTTCACTGAAAATAGCCTGGTGTAGACGGAGAATCAGGTGTTAAAAACTTCACCGAGGCAGCAATACATAGCGTAAATACCGAGTATGCATAGGATTGATTTGGCGATAGAACATTTGACGAGATTTGCAGAACTTTGGGAAGCAGTATGATATTTTATTCTATAACGCCGATGAACCATTGTATCTGTCTAGAGGTGTAAGAACGAATACCGGCCAAAACGATACATTTACCTTCAAGTATATTTTCATCATCTGACGTGCATCGAATTATAAGAACAGCGTATTAGAACATCTTCTATTAGACAGGACCAAGCAGTTGAGATTAACTGTTTTTACACACAGAACTGTTTAAAGGCTTATTTCAAACCTTACGGATAGCCTAGCAAAAACCGAGTCCGGTGCTTCGTACTCGTCGCCCACAACTGCACTAACAAGTGCAGCAGCTGGTATTGTAGGTGGATTTGCAATGTATTGGTTAGCCTTATTCAGTCGTTTGACCAGGGAATACGTACCTTTGGTCGAGGTGGGAAGCAATGCACAGCCACTCCTGTCAACGCTGTGGTGAAATATTGTATAGCAGGATGAATCCTTCGTCTTTCTGCTGTAGGTCTAGTAGGCGATTTAAAGCAGAATTATACGAACATTGGTAGACAGATAAACCTGTGAAATAAAATTTGGAGGCCACTGATGCGCTGATGCAGCAGAAGATGGTGTCGCCTTGAATAGGGCGATTTCACCTTCTAGGTGAGCAGAACTAAAAGCGAGGGGGATGCACAGAATATGATGAAAGTTGCATCAATGATGATACTACCATATTTACATGCTATATTCGAGACAGAGACACGTACAACGTAGAATGTGTGATGGGTAATTTTTCTGAAGGGTATACTATGCGGACGAAAAAGTTGAAGGTAAGTAAACTTATGTGGGGAATATTAAAACACTTGGTTTGGCCGGAGCAATACCGGTGGTAAATTAATTAGACATTGGCATATGGCTAAGCTAACCGTTAATACTTTTTGTGAAAATGAGGCTTGCCAATCAATTCAGGGGTATCATCAGCGATGTCATGTATAAACTTGTGGTCATGATCGAGATGGTGGATTACAAAGGTAAAGCATTCATACCAAAGCAAGGAAATGATGACTCGAGAGTTGGGGTGGAGGTAGATGGTTCAAGTATTAATGTAGGACAACATTTGCTCTGCTGTGATTGCAAGAAATTCTCAAGGGTTAGTCTCCCCGTACGGGTAGCCAAAGCAAACTCGATTCATTCTATACAAGGAATAACCATCGGTGGATACAAGTCAATTAAGCTTATGGTATTAAAGCTCGCTCTATGCGGATACCCATCGAGCAAATAACATTTATATAGTCCACGAAATATCCATACGAAAGAGATACAGCAAAGATAATTCAAGCATGTTCTCTTTGAGGTATCACTTCGGTGATTAAGAATTAAGCCAGAGAATACGATCCAATCCGGCTAAGTCTGAAGATCAAATTAGGGTCGAAAATCCCTTTTGGTATTAGACCGGCTTCATCAAATATTAAAAGGCTTCTTGTATAAAGTCTGTTAAGAGGAATGAGCTCAGACAGCAGTTAGCTAAAACCTAATAAAGTACCAGGTCTTGACTCGAAATGGGTCAGAATCCTGCAGTCTAATCTACTTCTACAATATCTTCAGATATTCTTTCCCTGTACAGTGGTAAACTTCTTTCGATTCATCTCTAGCTTCAATTCTCACCTTAGACATATCTTTATGTACCCTCTGCAGGATAAAAAGTTCAACTGCCATATTGTCAATGTTCGTTTTTCGAGACTATGTTAGATTTTAGGTTTAAGACCCGCCCAGTAGATTTGTCGAGTTAACGTTATACGCTAAGCACTTATATTACGTATGACGATTTTCAAACTGATACATTAGTACTAAATATTGTATACTTACAGGAGCGAAAGGGGTCTTAAAGTTGCGATAACCAAAGTAAGGGAATCTCAACCTTTATTCAATCATAACTGTGCCACTACTAATAATTTCTTCGCAGATACATTTAAATAAATGCAGGCGTAGTTTAAGCGATACTTCTTACTCGTCGCTGTTATATTTAAATGAATGCAGGCATAGTTTAGGCGACACTTCTTACTCTTCGCAGTTACATATGACATTTTTAAATGAATGCTGGCGTACTTTATGGGGATCAGTTTCGGAAAGAATACGGAGGTTTCTGTTGCAAGGGAATCTCACCCTTTATTAATCACAACTGCGTTACTACATATGTCTCTTCGCAGTTACATTTAAATGAATGCAGGCGTAATTTAAGCGAATCGAATTCGAAAAGAATACGATACTTTCTATTAGCCTACTTTTAGTTTGTTAGCTCAGTTGCGTGCGTGCGTGTGCGTGCGATGCGTGCGGGGGTTGTTTGTGTGCATTCTCAAAACTACAAATCGCCTTCAGCAGTTGTGGTCCGAGTCTCACAGAATACTCTTATGTCCACTACTGTTGTTTTGTTGATTCTATCCACCTTCTATCAAACATGGGTCACGGTGTTCAAAGCAAACCCCATAAACCATACATTGCATTGGAGACTATATATATATGTCATCGTATCGCAACCGACAATACTATAGCTCACAATCCCAACAGTCTTGTTAGCCTCGAAGTATGCATGTACCGACTCAGCAAATACCAGTTCAAACACAAAGGTAAGAACGGTTGCCTTGACTGCAGGTTGTCCAATCCGTTTACAATGTAAAAGGTTACGAAGAAGTTCTCGACTATCAACGTAAAAACCTCCAGCATACATCGTACTTATCATCTCATCCCAATCACAACTTGAGCGAGACTTACACTGGCGTGTATGTGGCGAAAGCTAACGCCGTTCAACTCAAGAGGCAACTGTACAACAGCACTGGAGCCTAGAGAGTGAGCGCAACTAACGGAACCATGTGTATGTGGTATAGTAACGGGGCTATGTTCATATATACTCTAGTGCGCGTGGAATGGTACGGTCTGTTGGATGCGAAACACGGGGCAGAGACTAATCTACACCCGACTACATATTTTGTGGTGAGAAATGAGCAGGAGGTGGATGCGTATGTGCGAGGCGGGAGTGCATGCCGATGATAAAGATGATGTATGTATTTCACAGCCAATTCCTAGCGGCACGTCCCAGGTTGACGCACGCAGGTGGTTGACTTGCGTATTTGCTAAATAAAGATATAAATACTAATTCTCCCTGAGAACCTTTTGTATCAGCTGTCCAGCCCACTCAACCGTGTTCTTCGTCAGTGAGCAATTACTCTTAGAGGCTTTGTACAAGACAGGCTGTACCCAAGCCTGTTCAAGTGTGGGCTTCATCTGCTTTCCGTACATGTCCGTCAAATCTCTGTGGAGCAATAAAATACAGCAGAATTAAAATACATAAAAACCGCCTTAACGGTACACGGCAATTGCGCAATAAAAATACTACATAACTAGCGCTTCTCCGACACTCCGAAGTACTACAGAATACAACACAAGCACATCATTCTACTTCCAACACTAAACTGATAAAAAGAGAGAGATGTAACATACCCTAGAATGCCGATGATCACCTTAATCATCGTGTCGGTGTGGTTAACATCGTTAGCGCATATGCACATAAACGAGGCCACATGTGCCACGTACTGGCTGACAGTGTCTGGATGTCCTCTCATCGCAACGAAGATACCGGCGAAAGCCTCCAGTGTGCTATCGCGCAACATGTTGACGTACTCGATCTCATCATAGTCATTCTGGGGTAAGAGAATACGTTCGCATTAATTATACGTGGCTAAGTGAAGATAGAACGAAAAAGAAAAAGAGGCTGTGAGCGTCTACGGTGTACACACACTGAACGCGCTTTCATCGCCTCTGATGGGTCATGAAGCCGCGGGATGCATTGCGAGTAACAAGGGCACAAAAAGCATAGGCGACACTCACCAATTCATAATTGCTCATCGATAGGTCTCCTGTAAACAAAAATCGAACAAAGCTAATACAACGTGACTAGACTACCGATAAATGAAAACTCAACCAACGTGCATCAATGACAACAACTTTTTATCATCCTATACCTGGTTTTGTGGCGCAGGGACATTCGACGCGTCCACCAGGATGGGCATGACGAAAGGCAGATATTTTTCAAAAGACGGGCCGATGCTCGTAGCAATATCACCGAATGCAGACAGAATATCCGGTCGCACATTGCGGGGCAAGGTAGACATGTTCAAAGCCTGTAACAGCTGATTCATGAGCTCGTCAGTGTACTTCTGTGCATTGCTACCCAGGGCGCGAGCGATGTCTCCCGTCATACCCACACTCTGACAGCCAATCGCGTAGTCGCTCGACACAATACCGGCCAATAGGAATGGCTTGAAATGCTCCATGTACTTCTCAAAGTCCTCTTCCAACTGGGAGATAAGACCGCTAATTGCGTTGAGCGCATCCTCGTGCACACCCTGGGCGTCGGTTGTGCGTAGCATGACCAACAGGATCTGCATCACCTGATCAGAGATTTTCATCAGATCCTCACGATGTAGTTTGTTGATGAGTGCACAGAGTGAAGCACACAGCAGACCTTGAACTTCGGTGTGCACTTGCTTGTCCTGGCTGTGCAGCTGTGCGAAAGTGGATTGGTGTGAAGAGACGAAAATAGTTAGATATGGCTGATTGTCAAGGCCACGTTGGAGGGAATGATCCACATGCTGCAGATGAAACAATTTGAGACTACAGCTGAATATATAATGTATACACCCACCCACACGACGACACATGATTACTACATGAGTTGTTGCATTCGCAGACAAAAACTTCGGATTGAACTTGAATGCATAAACAGTGTGGTTCGAGTCACTGTCAGTCCCTTTGCGCATACTGGGTCATTTTTGTATTCCAAGAGATACTCATGTCAGCCTCCATCGATACGCAGATACCGACTTGCATTCACAAAAATAATGCATTCTTATACATTCAAGCGCGACGAGACATTACACATATACGAGACATTACACACATGTTGTTGTTACGTCGCGCGCCGTGAAAACCAGAATATCAACCAACACTACTCTATACTGAACGTGTCAAGCCGAGACACTCGTAAGATACGTACCTGGTCATGTGGTAACAAAGCCTTCTCCAATCGTCCCATGATGCTGACAGTGGTTTGAATGATATAAGCATAACAGTCATTTGGTGCCGTCTGAATTACAGTGTTGAGACACTCGTACGCGGCTACACGAAGTTGGTTGTTGGCGTCGGGACGTTCTGTGGTCTTCAACAGCTCCTGCACCAAGCTCTGTAAAGATTTGGGGTTGATACAACGCGATGATGAGTAAAAAGCGGACCCACGACTTAAAAATCTTCATTTAAACGCCCAAGAATTAGCAGTACTCGAAATCGGCCCCTCATCTCATCGCGCAATGCATGAAGGTAACCTTTTTGATATACTAGCAACCGATAAAGTTCTACTCGAAACGCTTTAAAAGTCTGATACTGTGTGATCAGCACCAAGCCATACAGCGCTATTCCGGTACAGTATAGTTTACTCTGTTTGGGTTTCTTCACTATTCGCGGATCTAAGTTTTCTCCCTATAAGTTAATCGAATCTAACCATATTCATTCGTCGCGATGAGTGTGCATATAAATATAGCAAGCAACTATTTTTTCCATCTAGAGTACCAGAGCCCGCATGATGGAGACAAATACAACGCGGTCACAAAATATTGCGACACATCGACAGAATTCAGGCGCTTACTCTCAACCTGACGCTTGCACTCATATTGACTGCAGGCAAGGTTACAGCGTGTTGTTAACGCACGTCAAATATAAATCGTATTCACAAGTTTGAATTGAAACCCATTACAGTGTTCTGATCCCGCAGATATCAATGTAAGCAGAACAATCAAAGTATAGTGCATACCTCGAAGCATGGGGATAGTGTGTACGTCTCGACGTCATCGGAATCGGAGTGTGCAGAAGCTGTGTCATACGCGGCATCGGCTAAGGCCTTGATCGTCCAGCACACATTGTTGGCCACACGCGGGACATCTTGCAGTGCTGTAGTAATATATATATATATATTGGGATGAGTTGGATGTTTGCGCCCAATATGGATATAGCTAAACCAGAATAAAATTGACACGCGATGAAACACATCTATAAAAGGACAGCGCCTAACCGCAGCTATTTCATGTGAAAAAAGTCGGAACTTATACTAAAGGCACTAATACTGACCGCGAGAACGAACGATTAACAAACACGAACATAGCGACATACCACTTCCAAGTGCCTGAATAAGGGGATTCATATTCGTATTCTCGGAGAGCACAACGTGCGGCAGGTACTCGAACACGCGTCCGATAGTCCACCCACAAGTGTCTCTGACCTGTACCTTCGGGTCTGCCATCAGCTGTGTAAGCACAGACATGCATGAGCTCACTATGTCCTCCAGATGCGACTCATCGGGACCCTCTAGGATACATCCCAGCGCCAGCACAGCAGCCTCACGCTGGTGCCACGAGGCGTTTGTGATGTTACCCAGAATAAAGGGACGCATGGGCGCTACAATATCTGAGCGACAGCAGTTAGACAGCAGAGACAGACACACTCCTGACGCCGTCGCCACGTTCCATGCATCGGCATCGTCATCGCTCTCATCCTGTTTGCACAGCAACTCGGTCAGAATAGCTACCAGGTGGGGGAGTGCACCTCGCGCATAGTATTGGCTGACCCTCTCTGGCTCGTAACTACGTTCTTGGGCATCCAACATGCCCATCTCAATCTCCATCTCCTCGTCGCACACCGTGGACCAGAACTCAATGGCCTGCAGACACACCTCGTCTTCGTCCTCCCTCATGGCTTGCAGTGTCAGTTGGAACAGAGCCTCCTGCATGTACACCTTCATAAATTCGTAGTATAGCTGTACGATACGGTTGAGACACTCCATCGCACGCACACGCAGCTGTACGTTGCCAGGTGTCTGTGTGGTCTCGCATACGACCTGCATGATGTAATTCCTCTCTGCTTCATTGGACATGTTTGTCTTCACAAAGTCCACCGAGTTCAACATCGCTCGGGTCGCGGCCAAGCGCACATCCATACTTGGCTCGTCCTTGCGCATACCGTTCACAATCGCCGTGAGTATATCGTTAGAGTACTGCTTAAGCACCATAGGGTCGATCTCCTCACAGATAAACCCTACCGTCTCTAGCGTGTTCTGCTTTGTGGGTGTGGGGGACTGTGGGTCGGTGCAGTTCTGCAGCAAACTGGGAATCAGCTCAGGCCATTGCGACTGGGGCAACTCCGCCTGTGCGATAGCACTCACCGCCTGAGCGGCTTGGGCACCCACTCGGGTGTTGGGTGTCTTGAGTGATAGCAGGATTATGTTCTTAATATGTGCTCGCACCGGAGCCTCAAGGTGTAACCATCGCTGTTGATTAAAATGCTTCTTGGTCTCGTTCTTGCTTGTGAGGTGATTTTTAAAACTAATACATGCGGCTTGTCTGGGCCCTTCCGGCACATTGTCACTCTGTATCACCTCGGCCAGAGCCTTTAATAACTCAGCCAAGTTGGCCTCAGCTGCTTGCTCGAGGTACTGTGTGGCCTGGATACGGTCATTGTCGTTCGCGGAGAGCGTGTGCTCCAAGAACGTAACTATGCTCATGATGGAGTATATATCTGTAAGTAAAGAATCGCAGACTATGCTTAAGTACGGGGAGACAAGCTATCATAGTGCTTGGTTCGTACAATTCCACAAACCATGGAAGGGCAGCACAGTACTGATTACATTTTTTGTGCACATACATTTTCTTATCATAACGCCAGTCTAGCGACTACTAGGTCGTCACATAAAAGATATGCCATAGGAGGCAGTGTAGAAGTTGGTGCACATGGACGACGACGTTGTGAAAAACAAGCTCCGTTGGATGAGTATGTGTGAGAACAGAATCCAAATGAATCCTAACGTGTGTGCAGAACTTGTCAACCATAGAATCGCTCAAGAAAAGACAACGGTATATGGCAGCAAAGGTGTTTGAGGCTTTCCCGTCTAATTAACTGTGCTACATCTGCCGTGTTACCAATGCCTTACTACCAAAAATCAATTAGCAATGAAATACATATCAAACACCATAAATAAAAATATCTTAAGTCACGATGCAGCGAACAATCATGGACAATAAACAACGCAGTACACGTTAAAGAATGATACTTGATACCAGCGACATCCTACTGGCCCCATGCTCTACATTTGAAAGGCGTGGTATATTCATAATATCAAACATGCGCTTTGGCACGGGGCATTAGTGCTTATGAATATAGATGAGAACATTTCAAGTAGTCTATGAAAAAACCATAATAATGAAGCAAGGGTGTTTCAGAAACACAGATCAATACAAACAGACACTTGATCGATAAGTACAGATAACTTACGCATACTCGGGTACCTTTAGATAGAAAGACATCAATATGCAAAAATATAAAAGTTTGTATAATTTGTAAAATCGCAAGGGTACGTTTGTACACACAATCACAGATAAACGTAGAGCAGATGATCAGCGTTCAAGACATTAATATAATTGAGGTATAAGTTCACACAATTCCAAGTGGAGCGGAAAGGTATTGTGGAGTCACATGTGCCGAGCACTCAGATCATAGACCAACCGCAACAATCATCATTATACAAGTATGGTCCAATACACTAGATAAGAATATAAAATACATATAAACGAAGATAGCGCTGAGTGAACTGCAACCTTGAAGAAACACAAAATCATTACAAGTGGACTACTACGCGACTGATTTAGAAGCAAGTGCTGGTGCCAGAAAGGTGTACGGAATACTTTGTGAAAGTGATATTGCATACGATCCTCGACGTGCATGCACAGATATATCATACATACTGATAAAAAACGATTTCAAACGACCACTAGACAAAGAGTTGTTGTACCGTCTGGATTATTCAAATCCTTGAAACCGGAAACTTCAATTCGACGACAGCGACCGCATACCTTATTGAGAAAAGTCAAAAAAGCCCCACGCTTGTCTGGCAAATCGGAATAAGTAGTTCTCAACTGAGGTTTCCTATAATAAGTAAATGTGAATCTGGCTGTAAACGTTAGCCTGTGCAGTGACCTATATCTCCGATTCGACAACCCTAAGCCGGCAGCTATGTATATAAAAGCTTCGAATCCGAAATGTGGCTCTCACGTTTGGTATCTGTGAATGATTGTAAACGATACCGTAATACCCCGTGGCCCATGGGTCACCAATTCCCAACCCTCTCCGAGTCAGTCAGTCAGGTCCACACTAGTCCTGTCCTCAACCTCGCTAAAAAGTCTAAACCGCTCAATTCACAGCATAAAAACATCATGAAACTAAAATATTACAGCCACTCCCCGTTCTTCCAGTGGTCCCCTGAGTCCTCATGTTTGCATGGGCCTTGCTTTGGGGCCAATTTTGTCCCCGATTTTATTTTGGTTGGTGGCCTTTCTCAAGTTGCCTGTAGTTTTTAGTATAATTCACCAACCCGATTCTTCGATCTTCGGGATCCGGTTGAGCGCAACTGCTGCCCTTGGCAAAAATATTTTTCTTGGATACGGGAATTTATGTACCTACAATCTGAAGACTCTACCTGTGTGGGACTGTGGGGCTGTGCCAGTAAACGTATTTACAGCTTTTCCTCTCTCTGTTTACGTCATAGGAATATTTGTTATTTGTCTTCATTTCTATCTGGTATGACTCATTTAAAAAAAATAGTTTGCCAAACATTGCAATTTGGAACAAAAACCGATGTTTTATTTTTATTTTTATACTATTAGAGTAAAAATGTGCAGTCTACGACTACAGAATACATATCATAAATATCAAGGGACACTGTAATCACTAACCTGGTTTATCACATGCATAAAACTCAAGGACGAAGTGACGAAAACTGGTCACTGATTGAGCAAGGTATTTTTTTTATGGTGAACAGGAAAGTTGAGGCTTGCTTCAGTTGCTTGCCGCTTGAACCTTGACTCCTTGAGGCCCGCCCCACTCTTGCTCGTGCACTTTTGAAGTCATATACATAAACTGAACAAAAACCATTGATTTTTTTAACCAAAAACCAAAAACAAAATGAAATTAGGGGGATTCGCTAATAGGGGATAATAATATTTATTTCAAAAATGGCAAGTATGTATATATTATTTATTTTAAAGGAGTTAAGTTACAATGTTTGTACATATGGTATTGGCTCTCATAGCCGTTGTAGTGGTTCGGGGAAGATCGATGAGAAGAAGTGGTCAGTAAATTCCCTGTTGAAGCTTGGACCGAGTGAGTCGACAATGGAGGATATGCGCTGGGTCAATTCAGGCCGGTGCTGACAAAAAACTGACACCATCGAGTGTGCCACGTATTCGCTTTCTGACCTAAAGAGCCGAAAACCAAACATATTGGCAATATCAAGCTGGAATATTATTTTGTGTTAGTTGAGGTACGTGTCCCGTTTTAATTATTTTTTAAAATTGCGGTAGTCCGCCAAAATATATTATACTGATAAGTGACTATAAATTGTAAATGTGATTATCTAACGGGCTTCATGTCAATATAGTTATATATAACAATTTTTACACACACGTATATATGTCTTTATTTCACCGTTCATGTCTCAGTGTGTTATGAACTATTATTTTGGGAACGACTGGGATATACAGGTACGTTTAGGATGCTGTATAGAAAATCACAGCATGAAACACAGATTGTGTGCAGGGTGTACTTGTGATATTGACAAAAAAATCGACATCCAAAAGATATTCTTGTACTAGTCGACAAAAGAATTACATCGTGGTCTGTCAAAGAAGCTGAGGTGCGACGCAACGAAGATTATGATGAGCGGCGAGTCTAGCCAGAGTGAGCGGCGATTGTCAAGGCGAAATATGTCAAAGAACACTAAAAGCGATTCTTCCGTGCGGACAGTGTGCATGTGCAGGCGTGTTGATAGTTGTATATCAATAGATGATTATTCATTTGTACTGCCGATAGCAAAATACGCTGTCAAACGACTGATGTGGATCAAAGCTTTGCTACCTTCAAATAGCCATTATGAGAGGCTAGAAATAATATGTATTACTAAATATTTACATATAAAAGCTAAACATTTATTAATGACTCAGTTGATATGGAAAGGAGGTCATCTATGTCCTGGAGCCAATGCTATGTGTAGAGCTACAATGGAATAGTTTATCGCAAATTTATTATATTCATAATCATCTACCAGCCCGTATGCAGTGTATCTGCACAAAAGACGTTATTGTTTGCAGCGAAGATCTGAGAAAAACAGGTCTAGTTCTCTCAGTTAATCCGAAAGTGCGTGATCAGCAGCTGAGTATCCTGGTTAGGGACACTAATATGACAGCTAAGATAAAGCGTGAGTTTGGGGCTGCAAAAGGGACGAAGGCGCAAAATAGCAATACATCACTATCGTGACGATCAGTTACACAGAACAACAAATGGACAAACAGGAAATAAGGCTGGGGAGTTGCCTTCATTCACGCTTATCACAAACAATATTTTTTTTACGGCCGACGCCTCATCACAGACGTGACTTGTATATCATTAGGCAGTTAGTTTCTACGTCTTCGTCGTCATCATCGGCGCTGATTAAAAGACATACATCTTGGTCTATACGACAAGCAGTAGTCGACAGAGCGATACCAACAGCATACATTTTAACTGAATTAATCATATCCACGAGCTCCTGCACAGTAATGACTGGCTCAGCCCTAGATGGACAAAAGTATGAAGTTGTCGCATGCGTATAGCTGGTAAGTTCAGAACTTGTATAATCCGGTCGTCACCTGACATAATTTGTCGTGAGTCCCTCTCAATCGTATGGTCCGTATCCGTTCAGACTGTATCATTGCCCTAAGACGAGTCAACTCTGATACGAAATATTGCCGGACTTTTAAACTTAGTAGCCGAAGTAACAAAATAACCTCCTAAGTATTTTGCACGTGTACCAATAGCCCTAAGGTGTCACTCCGCTTGATAACCCCTTTTGTAAGATTCGGTCTATCAAGGCGATATTAACGTCATAGAGTAATTAAACGCTTAGTGTAAAATTCGGTCTAATAAAGGCGATACTAATGCCTTAGAATAAATAAACGCGTAGACAAATTATAAGTATCGTGTAAATATCAAGGTAAATGAACGAAATGAGACGTTTAGTAAAGTTAGGTATGCCTCGTGAAAAAAGGATATTCTGAGGGATTGTGAGGCTGAGACATTGCCTATATATAATCCTCTCAGTACTGTTTACGCCGAAGAGATTTTATTTAGTGTTTCGTTGTCGCTCTATTAGAAATTATGGTACGTTTCGTTGGGGCGAATCCGAGAGACTCATAAAATCCTATCTTTAGAAAAAAGAAATAAAAAAAGAAAAGTACTCTTGATGTCCTTAGTTATTGTCTCAACCAATAACTTGCCACTATCAAGAATTACCGACTTAGCCTTCATCAGACTGGCACATCTGGTTGGCTGATCGGAGGATTAACTAGGTAACGTTAATAGTCCCTAGAAACCTATATTCGGTTGAGCCATCTCGCTACCGAAGTATTCAGATATAAATAAAATTGGAAAGTAAATTAAGTTCTATTAATATCTGATATGTAAAAAAGGAAAAGGTATTAATTAATAAAACCATTAAAAACCATTTTAGGAAACTTAATTTCCTCGTGCTATTAAGAGTACATTTAGGAAACTTAAGTTCCTTGTACTATTAAGAGTACATTTAGGAAGCTTAGGTTCTTCGTACTATTAAGAGTACATTTAGGAAACTTAAGTTCCTCGTACTATTAAGAGTACGTTTATAATTTACGTACTGCTTAAGAGTACGTTTATAACATATAGTCTAATGTGGAGGCCCGGCGTATTATATAGCCCCCCATCAGCTTTGAAACCCATGAGAAGCAAGCTGCTCACTCAAGCTGATTATGGTTCAAAAAGCGAGAAAGGAAAAACTGGTCGAAACATTAAGTATCATAACATATATTTAATGTTTCTCAGGCGGAGAAGTTAAGTGTTCTCGGTTACCCTGTGAGTTTTGGTCTTAGGTCCAGTATGTCCGTGGTGGTCGACTGGACGTTCCTTACGCTTCAGTGTCTTAAGCACATATGAAGGATGAGCATTAAGGCTCGATTTTAACTTCCGTTCCTTCAGACGATGGAAACATGCTATTTTTCTCAGCTTGCGACTTATGCAGGCGTTTACGCCATTTTCGATTAAAGGTATTTAAATAGTCTTGGTTATCGAAAGCATCTGAAATCAACTCAGCTATGGTACCGTCTATAAAGCGTGTACGATAGTATGTATAACCTCCCTTAACCGTTCTCCATATAATGTCTTTAAATTCAGAACGATCAAGAAGGGCATTAGATTCATGTCTTCTTGCGAGTATAATCTTTGTAGTCGGAATACGACTTGTGCCTATATTAAGCGCACTAGAACCATCGGGGTTATTTCCCTCGTACGTTCCACTTTTAGTGTCTGCTACAGAGATTATATATGTACCTATACATTTAGATATTATTACAGTAGTATCGGAATTACGTTGACGGATGTTAACTCTGTCACCAACCTGATACTCTGCTATGTTCTTGGTAGTGTTCCAACGCTTTTGCTTTTTTAATAAGGCTATATTGCGTATTTCTCGCAAGCAAGGATATACAACGTTATAAATACGTTGGACCTTCTCTAACCATGGTAACTCATGGTGATCAGGTTCGTCCTTGTTAAAGGGGATTTGTAACTCACTCTATCTGCCACGAAAATAGTGAGCGGGTGTAGTTCCTGTAACCGGATCAGCACACTCGTTCATCTGTGTTTGTATCCACTTAAGGTGGTACGGCCAATCATCTGCATCATCCGTTAATGCAGTACGCAAGAAGAACTTAAGTCTACTATGGCGCGTTTCATTCGCGCCTTGCGTTTGCGGCGTATATGGCACACCTCTCTTATGGCATATGCCTGATACGAGTACTAGCGATTCCATAACGTCATCGCAGAACTCACCACTGTTATCAGTGCACATAATAACCGGCCACCCGTGGTCAGCAAAGACTTGGCAACATAATTTTGCCACGGTCTGCGTATTCTTATCCTTTAATGGATATAGCAAATTAAACCGTGACGCCACATCAAGGAAGTGGCATACGTAACGGTCGCCTGTGTGCTCGGACGTGGGCAGGTCAACCAGATCAATAATGACCCTGCGCCATGGAACATCTTCGGTCACACTCTTAAGTGGTGCAGACCCATAGCGTTTGATCTGATTGACATCACAGTCTGTACATAACTGATATACTTTATCCACTAAAGTTGCCAGCTTAGGGTGCACGAGCCCATTTCGTTTGGTATCTTTAAGTGCTTCTACTACGTTCTGGTGCTCCAGCTTATGATATTGCGTCAGCCAAGCGAGAATGTTTTCTCATTCTGCTCTTCCAGAATAAAGGTAGGGTGTTGAGAATCCACTTGCGTATGCTCTAAGTCTGTAGTGTTTTCAGACTCCTGACCCTCTACTGCGTGCGCATCTTTAGTACGGTCATACGCATTTGCTACACTCGACATATTTAATAGTCGCATTGTATGTATATAAATAGATTTGGAATAAAATATAGTTCTATTAATAAAGCTATTTCCAATTCCTATCCTTGGCATTTTAATCGGGCTTTTTAATGGCCTTCATTCAAACATCTGATATCTAAAATGAAAAAGGTATTAATTAATGAAACCGTTAAAAACTATTTAGGAAACTTAAGTTCCTTGCACTGTTAAGAGTACGTTTATATTTTACGTACTGCTTAAGAGTACGATTATAACATAGAGTCTAATGTGGAGGCCCGGCTATTACACTTTTATATGCTGAATGGTCTTATCCAATCGCGGAAATCGATTGTCGAGTTTCAGATAATAAATGGCCTAGCGTAGTGTAGACCTCTGCTTTGGTATTTCATCTGGTAATAAATCAGAGGATAATTATGTCGCCACCTCATCCGTATGCAATGGCGACTGCAGATGAATTCCAAGCAATCGTTTCAACAATCGAACACAGGTTTTCTTGTTCACGTAGTAACTTCACTCATCGTGTAACAAAAAAATACATAACTAATTAATTTTAGTTAGCTTAACCCGTGAGGAACGTAATGTAATAAATACAGTAGTTCGATCACTTAAAAATGTGGTCAAAACGTGTTAAGTCTGAAATAAGTGAGCGGGGGGTCAACAAAATATGATGACGAAAATCAGAAAATGTCCGGCTTGATATTGCCAATACATTTCGTTTACCACGCCTATTGGAAATTGAGGAAGCTATGAAAATGTGCTTTGTATGTACTAAAAAAAAACTGGATCAAATTGCGGGTTTAAAAATGCTCAGGGTAAATATATGGTTCAAATTGGAATCTAGTATCTTTTGGACGGTATATCACAGGCAAAGGAGGGGCATTAAAACACACACTTTTTGGGCCTGTTTTTGGGTATATCGATATTAAAATCAGGGTCAAAATATGGGTTTTGAGCAAGCCCTTCATTGGTCTGGTATTATGGACGTCCTGAGATGCCAATTTGAATCATATATTTATACTGAACATTTATGTTCGGATTTATGTTCGGATTTTATTTTTTCGGGTGAACCCTGTCGTCTAAACCTTGTCCAAGATGAATTTTCGACTAATTCGATAAAATGGACAAAATTCGTTTACGTACAATCTTGTGATTTTCAAGCCTGATGACTCAAAAACAGTTAAACACACACAACGAGGGCAATTGATGATGCCCTCGAAAGTTTGCCCTCGTTTGGATTTATGTTCGGATTTTTTTTGGCTTTTGTTTTTGCTTTTTCTTGAAATGTTAAAATTACCCTTTACCCATTGGTGTAGCCAAAATTTGAACATAAATCCGAACATAGATAAAATCGCTAAAAAAGACAGCCTTGGGCCTGAGGCCTGGAGTCGGCCTGAGAAGTGAGAGGCACTGTACAAACAATTATGAAATTTCCATAGCCTTCTTCTAAATTGAACATAATTTCACTCTTTTTTTCTTCTTCGAACTAACTAATCGCATACCTGGGCCATTCCAACCAAATGCGATATGTTTGAAGTAAAACCGCTTTATTTCATCACTGTAGCAGTGTAGTAAGCTGTGGACGGATCAAAGCAAGTATTCGTCAACAATTCCTGTTCTTGAATCCACCTATGTAGCATGCGTTAATGGTTCACGAGTCATAGATATACAACTGAAGCTAGGTATTTACATCAGTTTTGAGGTAGTGTAAATAGACGATTATGACAAGAAGTCGGGACATAGTGGGCGTATTTAGGAGATATTATCATATACCAAGGTGCTTAGTTTAAATCAGAAGCTTACAGTAGCGTAAATTAACCAAAAGGTAGTCCATGTACAGGAATGGTATAATATCTATTGAATGAGAATGAAATATACGATTTACACCTAATTTCTGTACGAGTTATATATATATATATATATATATATAAATATATATACATGTATATATAAATATACATACACACACAAATATATATACATATACATATACATATATATATATAATACACACACACACACACACAAGCACAAGCACACACACACAAGCACACACACACATATATATATATATATATGTCAGTATATGTATATGTATATATATATGAATTACATGTATATATAGATATATATATATCTAGATATAGGATATATATATATATATACGTATACGTAAATACATACTTCTATATACATATACATATATATGTATATATTCTATATCCAATATGATATATAGTTTAGTGTATATAGCATATTTATATATATCTATATATATATATATACATATATATCTATTTATATGCTATATACTATATATCATATTGGATATATATATATATGTATATATATATATATGTATAAATATATATTTACGCATATATATATATAATACATATATTTATACATTTATATTAGATATACTTATAATATATATATATATATATACAGACACAGACACATATATATATACATATACATATAAATAGAAGTATATATATA